CTGTATAGTCTTTCAATAAATCTACGAGTCTTCATTGCCTGGAGCAACTCGTTGCGACTTGCTTGCTCTCTCAGCTTGGAGCTCAAAATGGCTAATGGAATTCCATTCGTCTAAATGCCGCTATATGTGTTTTGGACCTGATAGGCTACCCCAACCAGTGGTCTTTCAAGGCACACCTATGGCTGAATGTACCACCATCAAGTATTTAGGTTTAAGCTACTCTCGTAATCTTGATCTGTCGCCACGCGCTGACAGAATTACAGTCATAGCTGCCCAAATTTTTTGGCTTTATTTCCTACAAATTCTATCTTCATGAAATTAAATTAAGGCTCTATCGTATGTTTCTAATTACCATCCTGGAGTATTGTTGCCCATTCTTTGGTTTGATGAATGAGGCTAGTCGTTTAAAAGTTGAAAATGTACAAAGACTTTTTTCTAAAAAAACTTTTAGATAGGGAACATCCAAATATCTCCTAATCAGATAGATGCCAGCTAATTAACCTAAAATTTTTATGGGTTCGAAGACTAGAAGCGGGCTTCTGTCTCCTCTTTCGCATTAATAATTGTTCAAATTTTCCTCGGATTTCAGCACTTACCCCTAGTAGTCGCCCATACAATCTTCGCAATTCGTCTCTAATTATACCTCCTCCAGCGTCCTCCACCTCTAAGCGCTCCCTTTTTTTCACTTCCAGGTATACTTCCCTCTGGAATAACCTTCCAATAAATATAAGATCTTCAGATAATCTACACACCTTTAAGAGAAGGCTACGCCTTTATCTGAATACTGACTCGATTAAAGTTTTATTTTCCGCATCCTTACCAGACAACTTTTTATATGACACTGAGAAAGGGCCACCGGGAATTTAGCATGCCGCCATTAAATTTCCGTATGTGCTCACGTTTCCTTCCTTTATGAGTAGTCTCGCTACCTAAGATCCCTCACCAGGAATGTTAATTATTCCAATTTCTCAGTTCATGAATCGTGCCCTCACAGAATGAGTACCATCGATGCTCTTGGCGAAACCTTCTATATTCTCCATATACTAGTAATCTGGTCGCATCTCCTTTGCCCTATCCTCGGATGGACTCTGATGAATGTAACCGACCGCATCTGGGTTCTTGTTGCCTCTAGACTGGTTGTCATCGTGCCCTTACAGAATGCGCTCCATCGGCGATCTTGACAAAGCCTTCTATATTCGCCATATACTAGTAGTCTGGTCGCATCTCCCTCCCCCATGCTCGGATGGACTCGAATGAATGTAAGCGACCGCACCTGGGTTCCTATCGCCTCAAGACTGGTTTTCAATTTCGCCACTTATAGAATAGGTTTATTGTAGCGCCCCTTGGGCACTGTCAGTCCCCTTTGAACTCAGGAAAAAAACCTAAAACAAACTCGTCAATTTCAACTGCACTTTGACTTCATTTGCTTCGGGTGTCTGGTTAGCCAAAAGAGCGCGAATTGAGAGTTTGTTTTAAGCTAAAAAAAACCTCAGTTCTAAGGGAAAATAATAACAAAATTTTCAAAAAATTATGATATGTGCAATATAAAAATTGAAGTTTGCAGTTGGGTAGTTTTCGGGGGCATGAATAATATGTCCTTCATGGCAATTGAAGAACTTTGATATCGGCCTGACCTTGAAATTATTTTTCTGCTGGGTAAATTTCGGTTTGCTCGAGTTGCTGTGTAAGAACCGAAAAGGCAAGTTTGTTTAAAAAGAGAGGAAGAACGGGCGAGCGGGAAAAAAAAGGAGGCGGGAGGTTTCCTGCCGTGGTTTGAGTGCGCCTTCTCTCTGGTGTTTCAGGTGAGGACGGCGAACGTGAACAAGGAAACACCCAAAACCCCGTGGATGTCGTACCTCCGAGGCCACCCACCTGACCAGCAAGTGTTTCCTCTTCCCTCCTCTACCCCCTGAGACTTTCCACGTTCTTGATCCCCCCCTTGTCCTCTCGTTTTCGTATCTCTCCCTTTTCCAATATATCGTTCCTGTTACATTCTCTTTGACTGTTCGAACCACTTCTGTACGTTGTGCCGTTGTCTGGTCGTCTGATGGCAAGATCTAAGCCCAACCGTTCAGGAAAGAGGAAAACGGCCCCGTCCCCATCTCCTTCTACCGAGTCGGTCGACGTAAGTCCGATACCAGACCCCCAACTGAAACCCCAGTGCGGTCCGCCTACTACAGTGGTGGCAGCGCAACGACCGTGCCCACAACCCCTGAACATGTCTGGCAACAAAATAAATCCAACGCGCACCGTCGACATACCACCCTACGATGGTTCCGAGTCCTTCACGGTGTGGCTAAGACGAGCGAAGTTCTATTTGCGGGAGATCGCAGAGGCCGACAGGCCCTGGACGTTACTCAAGGCCCTTGCGCCTAAACAGTTGGATAAGGCGCTCGACGCTGGTCTCGACGCCGATCTCTCCTTTGACGCGCTTTGCCAACGCCTGGCTAACCTGTTCAGCCATACCTACTCCTTCGGCGACGCCATGGAACAGTTGCAGAAACGAAGGTTGAACCAAGAGGAAACCCTTAACCAGCTGGTAGAGGATCTGCAACGCCTGACAACGGTGGCTTTTCCCTATTTGGGCTCTGCAGATAAGGATAACACCGTACTCTATTATTTTATTAAAGCGCTGCCGACACCCGACCTTTCACGGTCACTGTTGTTGCAGCCGCCGGACAGTTTACAAGAGGCCGTCACCAGGGCCGAACGCTACCTGCGAATGTGCCCTCCAACCTCCCGTCCCCTTCCTCCTGAAGATGCACACGGTCGAGATGCCCACCCTACGTCTGCGGGACCAGGTACCTTCTATCCCCCACGACGTTTCAGCGGCCAAACACGACCACCCTTCAATCGTCGAGGAGGACCGTTTCGCCGGCCAGGTGGACAAATGCTTCCCAGAAACCACATCTGCACCTGTCAAAGGCCAACGGGTACGGCCTCTATTACTTCATGCACCAACTCTACTTTATCAGTTACCCCTTTTTATGCCACAGTAACCGTAGCTGGTCAGACTGTAAAGGCGTTGATTGATACAGGAGCGACGGTATCCCTAGTTAACCCACGGGTCTTACAACCGGGTATGCAGCGCCAGCGTAATGACATTCACCACCCAGGGAGATTGACCACGGCCGACGGATCACGCTTAATACACCATGGGACCGTGCCGCTCACCGTGACTCTCCCCTATTTCACAGCAGAACATAGTTTTATCATAACACCCCACCTCACGTGGGACATACTCCTCGGGACTGATTTCCTCGCGCGTTACGAATGCCACATTGACGTACGGAATAGGCGAGTTGAGTTCCGACATACCGACGCGGAAGGCCCGGCTGAACCCCAGATCGTAGGCGAAACGGCCGCCTGTGCCGCAATCCAAGAGGCAGTTAAAATTTCTCCGACGTCTATCGACGATATACTACCCACGACAGATCGGGCCGATGTAGAGACAGAGACACTTAAACGGATGTTACTTGGGTTTCACGATGTCTTTGCGTGGGACGAGTACACTCTGGGCAGAACCAGTTGTATACGACACGCTATTGAAACCGGCTCAGCGAAACCAATTTGGCAACCGCCACGGCGCATCCCAGCCCATTTGCAGAAGGAGGTCGATACGTTATTAGATAGTATGTTGGCGACGGGGGTGATAAAACCCTCCCGTTCGCCTTGGGCATCACCAGTGACTTTAGTTCCAAAGAAGGACGGCAAAATACGTTTCTGTATCGACTACAGACGCTTGAATGCCGTGACCACACGAGATTCGTTCCCTCTACCACGTATCGAGTGTACACTTGATGCCTTAGCTGGGTCCCGATGGTTCTCCACTTTGGACCTAAAGTCCGGCTATTGGCAAGTGGAAGTAGAGCCAGCAGACCGCCAAAAAACGGCGTTCATCCTCCCACAGGGATTGTACGAATTCGAAACGATGCCTTTCGGCCTCTGTAACGCGGCTGCTACATTCCAACGGCTGATGCAGGTAGTGTTGTCACACCTCTATCTACGCCAGTGCCTCATCTACCTTGACGACGTTATTGTCTTCGGCAAAACTATCGCCCAGCATAACGATAATCTACGCGCCGTGCTCCTAGCGTTGCGCGAGGCAGGCCTTACGCTTAACCCACAGAAGTGTCAATTCCTGCGAG